GTTCTGTCGGCACAGGAGGAAGCCAAAGACTTCGTCACCCTCGACAACCTGGAGGAGAAGATCGAGGAGTGCTTGAACAATCCCCGCAACTACAATTTTGCCGTCGACAAGGACGGGCGGGTGGCCAAGCGGAGCGTTCTGTCTTAGGGGCCTCCCCAGAGAGTCGACCGTCTCTTCCTTCCAGACTCGGGATAACAACAAACTCAGCAGGGTCGATACCCCGGCCTCCAGATCACCAGACCAGCTGATGTCGATTTGGGACTTTGTGTCGGGAGAACTTTTGCGGCTCCTCTTCACTGGGAGCTGTTGCTTTGCAGGAATAAAGGAATGGATTTTGCTTTAGAGCGCTGGCTCGCCGTGTCTGGAACCTGTGCCGTTTCTCTGTTTGGCAGGCTGGGTTTTGGAATTCTGCCGAAAACCCTCTCCCCCCAAACGGCTGGGCACTGACTCCTTGAGCTTCCTTCCCGGTGGCAGCAAGGTTTAAAAAACTAGATGCCACGTGAACGCAAAATCTAGGGTTGCCAGCTCTTGGATGGGAGATTATCGGAGATTTGCAGGTGGAGTCTGGGGAGGACGAGAGTTTGGGGAGGGGAGCGACATTCCCTCTTAAGCTGTGGAGTCGTGTGAGCAAAAATTCTACTTTGTGTGCCACTGGCGTTCAAGTTGTGAGCGAGCGACTGCATAAATTAGTTTGTTCTGAGCGGTCCTTCCTGAGCGAAGACAAATATCAGTGAGCTAGAGGCTAAAAAACTGTGAGGTAGCTCATACTCACTCAGCTTAGAGGGAACACTGGAGGGGAGGAACCTCGTTGAACTGTGAGCGAGCGACTGCATAAATTAGTTTGTTCTGAGCGGTCCTTCCTGAGCGAAGACAAATATCAGTGAGCTAGAGGCTAAAAAACTGTGAGGTAGCTCATACTCACTCAGCTTAGAGGGAACACTGGAGGGGAGGAACCTCGTTGAAGTATATTGCCATAGAGTCTACCTTCCAAAGCTGCCCTTTTTTCCAGGGGAACTGATCTCTGTTGTCTGGCAATCCAGTGTAATTTTGGGAGCTCTCCAGCCACTACCTATCAGGCTCCTTAGTCAGATCACACCACACAGGGCTTCATAAGAAGATAACTGTTTATTAGTGGATCCAGTACTAAAGAACACGTGTACAGCTTGTGTCAGGAATGGCCATCAGTACTACCGGTAGGGCCTCTGACTTATACTGAAATCAAACATCCCCCCTGTAAGCATGAGCCAATGGAGAACTCACGTGCGCGGCAAAGCAAGCGGGCATAGCAGAAAAGCCATTAACTTTCCCAGCCGTGGAAACTGCAGCTGGAACATCTACAAGGTCAAGCATAAGATAGCACACAGTAGCTGGGCAGGATGGAGCTGAGAACGAGAGGGAGGGTACCCCTCCACATTCCAGAGCTATGACAGGGCTACCTGACAGAAGGGAAGAAGAGATTGGATTTATATCCCACCCATCACTACTCGAAGGAGTCTCAGAGCGGCTTACAAAGTCCTTTCCCTTCCCCTCCCCACAAGAGACACCCTGTGAGGTAGGTGGGGGCTGAGAGAGCTCTTTCAAGAACTGTCCTTGAGAGAACAGATCTGAGGGAACTTACGACTGACCCAGGGTCACACTAGCAGCTGCATGTGGAGACGTGGGTAATCAAATCCAGTTCTCCCAGATTAGAGTCCACGCTCCTAACCATGACACCAAACTGGCTCTGAACATACATAGTTGCCTACCTTACAGGAGCCTTCTAAGGAAGACTGAGATCACCCATGTATGTGGAGAGCAATGAGTCTAGTTATAACTTGCCCTTGAAATAAGGATGGGAAACTTCTGGAGAATTGGGGCTGAATCCTGGGGATTCAGGGTTTGGGGACGGGAGGGACCTCAGCAGGGTATAACGCCACAGGGTCCACCCTCCAAATGGAGGCTGATGAGGGCTGAGTTTGGGGAGGGGAGGGACCTCAGCAGGGTATAACGCCACAGAGTCCACCCTCCAAAGCTACCATTTTGTCCTGAGGAACGGATCTGTGTCTTCTAGAGATCACTTATCGTTCTGGGAGATCTCTAGGCCCACCCGGAGGTTGGCAACCCAGAGTCCCGTGGGAGGAAGGCATTTGCTCCTCCACCCCTTTTAGGCCTTCGAGTTGGGGACCCTCACTTTGTTAATCCTGTGAGCGTGTTAGAAGTTGGAGAGGAGGTACCCGGCTCTACAACAAAATGGCTGCCTTGGGATGAGGAATCCCAGCCACAGAATGGCTGCCAAGGGGGGCGGTGACCAATCTCGAAGTGGTGTGAGCTTCCACAAAATGGGTTCCAGTCTTATGTTCATTTATTCATGGTACCCTCTACACGGCATGCTGCTTTCGCTTCCTTTGATCATCGGATTTTATGGTACCCTCTACACTGCATGCTGCTTTCTCCTTCTTTGATAATCGGATTTTAAGGTAGGTACCCTCTACACTGCATCCTGCTTTCACTTTCTTTGACCATCGGATTTCATGGTACCCTCTACACGGCATGCTGCTTTCGCTTCCTTTGACCATCGGATTTTATGGTACCCTCTACGCTGCATGCCGCTTTCACCTTCTTTGATAATCGGATTTTAAGGTAGGTACCCTCTACACTGCATCCTGCTTTCACTTTCTTTGACCATCGGATTTCATGGTACCCTCTACACGGCATGCTGCTTTCGCTTCCTTTGACCATCGGATTTTATGGTACCCTCTACGCTGCATGCCGCTTTCACCTTCTTTGATAATCGGATTTTAAGGTAGGTACCCTCTACACTGCATCCTGCTTTCACTTTCTTTGACAATCGGATTTTATGGTACCCTCTACACGGCATCCTGCTTTCACTTTCTTTGACAATCGGATTTTATGGTACCTTCTTCATAGTTTTATGGCCATTCATGGATGACTTTGTAATCAGTACGGCGTTGGCCCCGGGGTAACTGAATGTGGTATTGAGCGGCAGCTTTTCCTCGGCGTTGAGGAAATGTGGAGCGAATGCCAGATCCAGAACCAGCCTTTGCTCCATTTGGGAACCATGTCCTCTTTCAACAGATCCGGTTTCTGGTTTCTGTCTTTTTTTTGTCTTGCCCCTCTACTAGAGACTTCCCGGTAGAGAGGGCGGGGCGGGCGAGCGAAAGCCCCGCCAATGGCACCAGCCCGACCTCGGGCGCCCCGCCAATGAGCGGCGCCCGGGAGGCGGGCCGCTCTCTGCCCCGGCGTCACGGAGCGCTTTGCATGGCCGCGGCGAGCCCGGAGCGGAGCGGCTGCAGCCACGGACATGCCCCGCGCCTGGCCCGGCTGGCTGAGCGCCTGGCTGTGCCTCTGCTCGGCGGTGCACGGTGAGTCTCCCCCCCCCACCCCGGAGCGGGCGCCTGGCCGGGCTGTGCCTACCTCGCAGGGGGGGGGGGGCCAGGCTGCCATGCACGTTCCCACCCCGACCCCCTTGTCCGGCGTTGCTAGCAGACTTTTTCCAAGCTCGCCGTCAGCCAGAGAGCGGGAGATGAGCCGACGAAGTCGTCTTCTTCGTCCTTTCAGGGGTTACCACCAGTCTCCAGGTGGGGCCTGGAGATCTCCCGGAATTGCAGCGGACCCTCCAGACTGCAAAGTTCCTTTCCCCTGGAGAAAAGGGGATGCTTTAGAGGGGGGGAGGCTTCATGGCATCGCACCCCGTTGAGGACCCTCCCTGCCGCAAACCCCACCCTCCCCACCTCCACCCCCAAATCTCCAGGAATTTCTCAACCCGGGGGTGGCAACCCTGTCCTTTCAGTTGCTTTTTTGGCTTTGCCCCCCACCCAGCCCATGTTGTTTGTCTTTTTAAAAAAAAATTAAACATCTGATCTCTCCAAAGATAATGCTGTCTGCTGCACAAACTTGCTCAGTAGCCTTTGGCTTCTCTCAACTCCCACCCCCGCTCTCCTGCAATATACAAAAGCCTGAGTCCATATGTCCAGCAGGACTCCGAACTCCAGAGTAATCCCATCGGCTTTCCTGAAGCTGCACCACAGTATATGGTGCGTGGGGGCTTGTAGCATCTTAAGCCTATTTATAATCCCCAATTATGCGTGGGGCGTGGCGTGTAGCCAGAAGACTTTTTCGGGGCCACCCGCCCTCCGGCCGTTGATAAATCTCTGCGTCGTTTGGGGTCAGTCTGGGAGCAATTCAAGAGGGATGCTAGAATAATTGAAGGCAGAATTTATGTTGGAGTTTCTATATGAAAGTTGTGTTTCAGCAGAGTAAAAATTAGCTGAGCAATGCCAGAGTTCAATAATCAGACTCAGTCCATGTGTGTGTTTAAAAATATAAAAGTTTTACTACAATTCTACCATAGGGAAGGGTAACTGGGAAGAAAAATAACAACACAGCTAGACAGCTACATCCTCTCTCTACAAAGTACAAGACTAACATGCTCTCTAACATGCTTCTTCTCCAAACCAGAACAAAGAGGGGAAGAGGGGCCATAAAATGCAAAGACACTGACAATTTGCTTCCAATCAAACTCTCAGAACAGGGATGCTTTTCGCGGGCTTGCAGATCTAAACTAACATTGGCTCACACAAAGGCAGGTGATTTCCTGTGACAACAAAACAGACATTTAACCCCATACACACACACTGAGTGTTTTCAACATGCAATACCCAACAATTTAATTTGTTGCGTGCCTTGCTTTTTGTACACTGGAAATCACATTACAAGTTTTAGCCGTTGCTTTTGCCTGCTGCTGTTATGACGCCGGTATTGTATGGAAGGTCAGAAGTTCAGCAGTTCGAGACCCGAGTGTGCCGCATGACGGAGTGAGCTTCCGTCTCTAGTTCCAGCTCTTGCCAACCTAGCAGTTCGAAAGCAAGAAATTGCAAGTAGATAAGGTCACAGCGTTCCGTGCGCCTTGGTGTTTAGTCATGCCGGCCACATGACCACGGAAATGTCTTTGGACAGCGCTGGCTCTTCGCCTTTGAAATGGAGATGAGCACCGCAACCCTAGAGTCGGACTCGACTGGCTTTCGAGCAAGGGAACCTTTACCTATTGCAGACAGGAACCTGAGAGGGGAGCTGAAGAAACGCATGCAGAAGGTCGCCGGTTAAATTCCTGGCATCTGCTGAAAAGTTAGGAACCTGGGACCTTCTGTATGCCAAGCAGATACTCTGCCACTGCTCTTTACAGCTCTCCAGAGCCACAGCCCCTCTTTACAGCTCTCCAGGGTCTCAGGAGGAGGTCTTTCCCATCACCTCCTTCCTGGTCCTTTTTAACTGGAGAGGCTGGGGATTGAACCGGGGACCTCCTACGTGCGAGACAGGATGCTCCTGCTGCTAAACCCCAGCCCCTCCTTCTGTGTCTCATCTTAGCCCCAAGCTTGCTTTTGGCCTTAGTCTGCCAAACCTCTCTTGGCCTCAGTTCCTGGCCCTCCCTTCTATAATTTGGAGGGGGAGAAGACTGGCCTGATTTACAGCGTTGATTGGAGTGTTATATCGATGCTGAGGGTGAGAGACAGATCCGAAATACACGCGTGCACACTGCAAGGGGTATTTGGATTTCCCGCTTGTACTATCAAAATGTTTTGGACCAGCCAGTTTTCATGCATTCTCCATTCTTTCCCACAGAGCGGCCCATCCTGCAGCCGCTCGCTTGGATTAGAGCTTGCTGCCTCCTGGCCTGATACTTACTCACTGAGTATCTTGCTCACTTCTGGCTCTTTTGACGTGCAACGGATAAACTGACGTGCAAAAGATAAAAGGGTCGGAACCAGTGTTCCCTCTAAGCTGTGGAGTTTTCTGAGCAAAAATTCTACTTTGTGAGCTACTGGCATTAAAGTTGTGAGCAAGTGATCTGGCTACTGCATCAACTGGTTTGCTCTGGAGTCATCCTTCCTGAGCTAAGACCAAAATGTGTGAGCCGGAGGCTAAAAAACTGTGAGCTAGTTCACACTAACTCAGGCTTCGGTCACATGGGCTGGATATTGCGCAGGGGGGGCGTGGCTGCTTGCCCCGGAGCGAACTACCGCGCGGCACCGGATCAAACGTCCCGCCCGACGTCCCGTGGTTGGGGGGAGGTGCCGATCATACCTCACTCCTGCGGCGCGGCAAAGAAGTGGCGCTGCGGGGGTTGTGTTGTTTTTTTAACCCAAGTGTTCGCATGCGCCGTTGGGTGCTTGTGCGCGCCCGTGGAGACTTGACACGGTCCCCACTGGTGGACCTCCTGATGGCATCTGGTATTTCTGGGCGCTGTTTGACAGAGTGTTGGACTGGATGGGCCTTTGGCCTGATCCAACATTGGCTTCTCTTATGTTCTTATGACAAAAAAAACCAACCCCTTTTCGCGACGGGACATGGGCGGGCGCCAGATGCCACGAGCTCAGAGGTACTAGTTTTTTACAGCGCATCTTTGGCGTGAAGCCTCGGGTTCGCCAGGGGAGCTCTACGCTTCCCAGATGTGGCGGTGAGATCGCGCCCGGAAAATCCGCCTATCTTCCGTCTCTCCAGCGTGCCTAATGCTCCGTGTGACCGGGGCCAGTGTTTTGAGAGGGGGTGAAGGCTGGATCCAGTACCTGTCCATCCTGCTAAACAGCTGATTGGTACTGTCAGAAGCTGGGGGTGCTGGGTTGGACCCCTGAACTTGGGTACCCTTAGGGTTGCCACCTCTGAGTTGGGAAATTCCTGGACATTTTGGGGGTGGAGCCTAGGGAGAGTGGGGTTTGGGAAGGGGAGGGACCTCGGTGTGGTATAATGCCACATAGTCCACCTTCTAAACCAGCTATTTTCTCCTGGAGAACTGACCTCTGTAACCTGGAGACCGGTTGTAATTCTGGGAGGTCTTCAGCCACCACCTGGAGGCCAGGAACCCTAGGTGCCCTCCAGTGTCCTTTGTAGGAAATCTTTGTGGCTTCACTACTGGGAGAGAAAAGGGTTAAACTCACCCTGTAGCTTTTCCCTCCTATACAGCCTAACAGAGAAAGCTCTCCCTGGCCTTTAGCTGACTCTCCTCTTAAGGATTTACTGGAGCCCCAGTATATTTCCAGGAGATTTGAAATGGGGATGTGGCTTTATCCCTCACAGAGGAATTCCCCCGTCATCTTCCTTAAAGGAGTCACACAGCTTTACTATAACCGCGGGCCTTGGAGCACTTTCACTGTTCCAGGGCCTGCCAGCTTCTCCTTGGAGGCCAGTGGGGGTGGAACAATGTTGCTGAACCCACTGGGTGGCAGTTCGTTGCTCCGTTGGCCTTGCTGAGTGTGGGGGCGGGTCCCCCAATCCCAGAGAATTACAACTGATGCCTTTAGATCAGCTTTGGCCAGTCACTGTCACTCAGCATAACCTACCTGCTTAACCTTTAGAGGAGGGGCCATGGCTCAGTGCTTGGCATGCAGAAGGTCCCAGGTTCAGAAGGTCCCACAGCATCTCCAGTTAAAAGGACCAGGCAGTCGGTGATGGGAAAGAGACCCTGGAGAGCCACTGCCAATCTGAGTAGTAGGCTTGCCAGTCTCCAGGTGGGGCCTGGAGATCTCCCACTTTTACAACTGATCTCCAGTTGACAGAGATCAGCTCCCCTGGAGAAAATGGCTGCTTTGACGGGTGTACCAGGCTGAGGCCCCTCCCCTCCCCAAACCCCACCCTCTCCTGGATCCAACCCCAAAGTCTCCAGGTATTTTCCAAACCAGACCCAACAACCCTACTGAGTAGACAGTACTGACCTTGATGGACAGAGGGTCTCTTTTAGTTTAAGACAGAACTATGTATGTTGCCCTGAGATCCATAGAGTAAATGTGGGATAAAAAGAGCATTAAAGAAATTATTGTTAAGTCGCTTGCTTAACAAAGTAGTCGGAGAGTGATTCAGCAAAGATTCAGCTTTATTTAACAACTCGAACACAACTCTAACACGGATCAACATCTGATAGCCAGAACAGCTTTTACATTGCAGCTGTCCTGCTTTTAAACTCTCCCAGCTAATGTAGCCACGCCTACTGTACATTTACCAACCAATAAGGTTGTACGCATAAGGACCAATCACGGACGTTCCCGCTCAGGGAGCTTGCTGACAAGTGATTGGTTGGTTCTTCCTGGGCTACCAATGCGATTGGATGGATTTGGATCCTAGCCCAGGACGAAGCTTAACATTGTACTTCAGTTAGATGATTCATGTATTGCAATGGCAGCTATTGAATACATTACAATTATAAATATGCTCTAGTTTTCTTCCAAGGGCATTCTTTAAAAGAGCTCCGGTTATTACCAATGAGCTGACTTGAAGGTCAGAACAAGTGAGACACAGGGGGGATCTCTGACTGGATCTCTCCAGTAGCTTTAGAAATTGAATTAAAGTGGGTGGGGAGAGGGAGAGAGAGGCAGCCAAACAATAAGTGCATGTCTTTTTTCCCCTTTAAATATATTATTACAGTTGGGGTAGTGATGGTTTTGAGTAACAAAACCGTATGGGGTGGAAAGGTTAAACACTCTCTGCCTTCCCACGCTGCCCCGATCTGAATGGGGTCACCTGCATCTATAATTCAGCTTACAAAGAGGCAGAGAGATCTGTGATTTTCATCAGGTAAAGTTTGACCTGCACTCTTAGTTGAATTATCGTGATTGTCTGGTAAGAATAAATATGATGCATCATAAGC